GCATTGCTTATGCACCCAAAATTAAAGACAGCAGCAGTGTGGAAATTGGGGACATTGTTCTTCTCACCTTGTTGTGTAAAGAATTCCTCCTCAGAAGCATGCTGTGAGGCTTCAAGAATGCATACATAGTGTTTTGAACAGGAAAGCGAGTGTAAGTTGTGTGTTTATTGTACTTAATAGGTGTTAATTAGGATTCTGTTTATAGGTGTGTTTTCCTTCATGGTTTGCTATATGCCAAGCCAAAACCTTGGCAAAATAAAATATATTTGATGCTACATTGAAAGCCAGCCTATTTATACGCATGCCTGTGTGTTATGTGGTCTTTTGCTTCTCTTCCTTAAGGATATTTACTCTAAGTCCTTCTTCATAATCCCCTCATTTTGACAGCAAAATTGGTCTCATGGTTGTTTCATTCTGATGCCAGAAATAAGAGGTTCCTCTTTCCAGTGGGCAATAGGCAGCGGGAACAAATTCGTTCTCAGGAGAAAGAAGTGTTTCTTTTTTTGGATTAATCCAAGGTGAGAGAGTAAACGTGTAGGGCATGAACAAGCTTCCGTAGAGTTGTTCCCTGGTGGGAAGGACATCTTTATTCATTGGATTCTCTTTATGCTTTGGAGATTTGGAAGCTCCCCCTTGTAGGTAATAATCTAAGGCTTTGAGAGGGGGAAGTGTTGTGAGCCCTTTCTTCTCCCTGAGACCACATGAGGTCATTGGGCAGAGTCGTGCTGGTTTTAGCAATAGTGGTGATGCAATAGCTAACCCAGGAACTATCAGGCTCTAGACTTGCTGCCTGTGGGCAAAGAGCTGGCTGAATTCATTCTGGCTTCTCCTCGTTTCCAGCTGCAGCACTGAGTTAAAGAATCTAAAATAGATTGCTTCCCTAGAGCCGCGTGTGAGTGGTCATAGCGCTGCACGCTGCAAGGCTGTGCTGGCACACGTGTGGGATGGAGTTACATGTAAGGTAAACACCATCTTCAGAAACAGTATGTCTTGTGAAAAAGTATGAAAAGCTGTGAAAGGTGGGAAGGCCCGCAGCCAGACATGTTCCTGGGAGTGTCCCAGGAGTTGTTTCTGGTTTTACCCTGACGTGTAGCCAGAGCAGGCAGTGTGAGCCTGTAACTGTGACACTGAGCAGCGTTTTCACTTGTCTCCAAACAGACTTTGAGCAAATTAATTCCTTTCTGTTCCTTATCTTCCCACCTTTAACAGAGGGATAAAGCTTCCTTTATCTCCAAGCTCCCAATCTCTGTTTAGATTGCAAGTTCTTTGAGGAAGAGAAAACACTTGGCACAGTAAGGCCCCTTTCTCAAATAGATGCCATTATAATACCTGTAATCAGAAGCATCATTCACCTGCGGAGCAGATATCTCCTGGCTTGGGAGTTTCCAGACTGTGACCTCTCTCAGGACTGGTTTCTAACAGCTGTACAGACAAATTTTCCTATCTTCCAGGCATTTTTGAGGATCTAAAATCAGCACCTTTATAAAAATCCTATTTTTCTTTCAATTTTTAAATTTCATTTTCTGTCAGTATAAATTCCTTAATGGTTCAGTTGTAAAAGCATTTCAAATTTTTTTAAAAAAGAAAACTTAAATTTTTATTGAAATACTACTTTTCAACAACCGTCTCACTTTTTTAAATTTTATTTTTGTCTTGGAAATATTTCAAGCTTGGAGCTAATCCAAAGAGGACCTTTCCCCACAGACAGTTTCAACAAATCAATATTTTTCCACTGAAGAATATCTGTCATTGGAAAATCCTGACACTTTTCGAATGCTGTAGGGAAGACTTTACAGGCAGAGACCTGCCTTCTAAAAGCTGCTTGCTGGATTTACAATTAGCAGTAATCCAGCTCTTTTGATGGCTTCTTCTGTATCAGTGTAAGCTCTGAACTGCCACTCATATACAAGTGACTTCCTTTCAAGTCATGCCAGTTCTCACTTTGATATTTCTCCACAAAGCTGTTTATTTAACTATTAAAAAGTCAGCCACTGTGACTGGTTAGCTATAGGACTGTTTAATGGGGATTTTTGTTTGGGTTTCTATTGTAGCTGAGGAGGATATATGATCTCTTTTGAAATGAGTTATTAACATGATAAAACATCTTGGGAACATACAAAGCTGATGGTTTAATTTTTGCTGGGGTATCTGAATGCTGTATTAAGTACAGGGGACTCCGCTAACGAGTGTGTGAGCTTTGTAGTGGTATGGCACTAGAACACAGAGCTGAAGCGCAGTTACCAGATTTTTCTGTAACTGTTTCCTGAAATATGCTTTGCATTTAGTGTTCGGAATCAAACACAGGGATACTATAAAAATCCTATGTTTTCCATACCTCAAAGATGGGAAATTTCAGAAATGTTGGTGTTGCTAAGAGAGATTTTTCCTTTATTTATCTCCCTGTAAATATACGTGTGTGTGCATGTGTGTCTATACATGTGTATGTATGCACATAGAGACATGTATGTGAATATTTGCACCCGCTGTATCCATCGGCTGGGCTCAGTTCAGTAATTCTGGGGGTACAGACACACGTGCTGGAGGTTATCTGTGCTCATTGCTTCCCCAAGAACACGGCTCATACCTGAGCGTGTGAGCTGGCTTATCATCTTCCACGTTCTTGTGGACTGCGGAGGAATTCTGGTTGGCAACCAAACCGGTACAAAAAGCTAATTCATTTTTATGACTTTCTGTTTCCACTACCCCCCTTCCTCCTCCCAGGTTTACATCAAAGAGGAGAATTCAACCCTGACTAATTTACATGCAGCTTACCATCCAGGGACTTGAAGCTGAAGCTTAACCAATACTGGTCTTGCATAATGCACAGATATTTAGCAATGGTGCTCATCTGTCTCTAGAACAACTTCTTCAGGGATGTAGTGAATTCCATTGCATCTTCAGCCAGGACATCTTTCTGACAGAAAGCAGAAGCAAAGGGTTTCCTTCTGGAACCATGGGGCAGAATTTCTGTCTGGGTCATTCAAGAGATCAGGCTGGAGGGTTTCTGATCTCTGAACCTCCTATGATACCTTCCACTTAGGTCTGTGACATGCTTTTAACATATCTTAACTGGTTTTGAATCCTTTATAATCATTCATATGTGTAGTTGTAACATAAAGGATCATCACCTTTAGATCCCAGTGAGTTAAAGTAGGGCAAGGGTACTGTAGCTTTACAACTAGGAAAACAAGCTGTAAGTTTGGCGTTTGGAGAAAAGCTTTTCCAGTTTAAATGGTTTATTGTCTAGGTTAGTGTTCTTTCCGTAACACACTTCGACAGTTAATTGATGTACTTTTTGATTTTAGTCCTCTTCAGGGAAGGCAGGGTTTTGAGAATGTAGGAGTTGTCGTGTGGGATAATTGATATTTCAGTAAGCTCTGAAATCTCTGGTTTGTCAATTCTTCTGCCTCAGTATACCTGTCTGTAAAACAGTATGTGATGTCCTTGGCTGATTGGTGCATAAGTGCTTTCAGAGCTGTGGGTAAACCGCTAATTAGTCACAGTCATTTAGTCAGAATCCCTAAAGTCTGATATTTTCCCATATGCTCTATTAGTTCAGGGAAAATGTCTTGAAAATTCGTTGATTTAGGCTTCCCTGGTGTATTTGCTGTTGTTTGTTTTTATGACGACGACTTTCTGTGTTGTGGTTAATACAGATGTTGCTGAATTGTGCTGTCTGCTTCTAGTTTTTGTGAATGTTCTTTTGGTTTAAATAGTGCAAAATCCTCTTCCCAGAAAGAAATGTAGAAATAAAACAGGATGCAGATACTGCTGCGATAACTGTTTTGTTTCAGTATGTATGTTCTACATCATCACTCTTGGTATTGGGATTTATCTCATCTGCACCCTCTGCCATACGCATCTATTCTGTATCGACGTACCAACACGCATGTACACAAAACCCACATGCACCCACGGTGTCTTACATTATATTGCGAAAGAAGCATAAGGTTAAAGCATGTTGACTCAACTATTTAATGAGGTGCAATAAATCTTGACAAGACCAGCTGGCACTTGAGTCAGGCTTCTCATCTTTTTACCATTACACTGAAACCTGAACAATAAATAGTGGAAAGAAATGTAACTCTTCTTTTTCTTTTTTTGGTGCTCAAATCTGTAGCACTGTATTGAAATCATCCACTTTCATGGAATGCAAAGCACGGTGGATGCTGTGGAAAATGTTAACGATGTAAAGGCCCCTCTTCCTGGTTCTTTTTCTCAAATTCTGAAAACGTTATTGATCTGACAGATCACGCAAGTGTGGTCAGCATTAATATCCCGGCAACACACTTTGGCTAAGCAGAGCAGCAGTGTTGAGTAATGATCCCCAGGATGTGTTTCAAGTCTGGTAGGGAGATGTGCTGTACTTCTTGCTGCCCTTGCCCTCACATCTCACTTTTCACCTTCTCTACCACATTGTTCTCTAGCAGTTACTTATCACCACCAAACCTCTACTAACTTTGGCCCTGCCTGTCGCCAAGCTCCTCCTCTGCCGCATGGCACACCATGAAATCTTTTCCTCTTTCTCATTTGCCTCAAGATCTTCTCCCGGGAGGCATTGCTGGCTGAGTATAGGTACCACCAGATCCAGCAGAGCTGGCGGCATTTCATCATGCTTCGTCACTTGGGTATCTTTTTGAACAATACAAGTAATTAAGCAGCTCAGACACCGAAGCACATGGCATGGTTCCAAAGCACCCATCTTGGCCTCCCATATAGGATTCTTTTTTAATGGACCAATTTTATTCTGTGAAAATAAATCTATTAAAATAACGCACTTCTTGTTTTGGGTGGGTTTTGTTCCTGACAATGGCATCCATCGATCTCTTTTATGTTCTCAGCCCCAATGCCAATCTATACTTAAAAAATAATTGCTCTGAAACCAACTAGATGCTTCTGTATTCACTTGAGAAAGACTGCCTGAGCTTTGCAGTGTATCCCATAACGGTAGCTGACATCTCCAAAAGTAATAACTGCACCTCGTTGCTTTGTGATTACAGCATTTGATGTGTGCTGGGCTCTGGTGCCTGGTGGAAGGAGATACATCCTGTAAAACAAAGTTGGACCCCCCTCTGGATGGCACAGAATGTGGCGCAGACAAGGTAATCAGAACACTCAGTAGCAGTCAGTTTTTCCAGCATTGTGTGTGGAATAATGTTTCCAAGATGTTCACTATTTACCATAAACCCATATTTTTTACTGATTCTGTTCTGAAACTGCTCAATTAACAGCTAGATTGGGTTAAGTCTTTCTGATTTTACGTTAGGTGTATTCCAGTAGCCTCTGCAGGACTCAGCAGTCAAGTTCTTGTGGTCCAGGCACTGTGCAAACACAGCAGGAGAACCCCAGGCCGCACTCTGCTAAGTGAACAGACTGAGTAACCTGCGAGTCAGTTAGGTGGTAGCTCGCTCCTGTCACTTCTGTTCATTGCTGTCAGTGGTGGTTCAGGAGTGAGGTGTTTTTTCAGAGTAAGCTAAAGAAGTAGTGTTCTTGACTATATTTGAGGTAGAAAGTGTGGAGGGCATTTAGAATTAGATTTGGGGTGTGGAGAAAGGTGGGGAAAGAAAAAAGAGGCTACTGAAAAACTTTGTAGTTTGTAAAAGCTCAAAATGTGTTAGGTTGAAATTCAGTGATGTATATATGTGCTCAGATGACTAAGGCATATATCAACTTTCCAGAATCCAGGTCAATGTAGAAAATTGTTACAAGAAGCACAAAATAGACTCTCAGATTAGTGAAAATCACTGGTCCAGTAACTGGCTTCAATGCCGTAAGGGTGAGAGTTACTGAGGCTCAGCTGCTGCCTCCCAGCTGACCTACAGTATTAACAGAGGTTGATTTAGGCAAATATGTTTAACCTCTGAGATGGGCTGTGATAGGAGGTATGTGGTTCATAAATGTACGTGGTTAATTCTCCCAGTGTGCCTGATGACTTGTTAGGCTACAAAGGAACTTGACTGGTTTGGTAGCTGCCAGATCCCTACTTACTGGCTTTGGATTCTAATATTTTTGTATGTTGTATGGCTGGGGAGGTAAGAAAGAGTAAAATGAAAAAGTTTGTTGCTAAAATCAAAGATTAGAGACCTTTTCTTTGCTTGCAAATAAAGATAAACAATGACAAGAAAAGCTGGGTCCTGGAAAGCATGACAAAAGATTTTTAGATATATGTTTTTCTAACTACAGGAGTCCTGGTGATTCTTTCCTAAGACCGCTTAGCAGTGCTTACTGTATCACATCCTGGACAGAGCAGGAGAATGGGCCAAGTTTGCTGCTTGGTCAGGAGCCAGTGCAACTTAATAGAATCAAAGGTTTTTTGGGGCTTTAGCCAAGTCAGGTCCAAAATATCTCAATTATTTTGTATGTACTGGGAATACTGCTGATGAAGATGTTGCTTTGGGGTATAATTTCTTGGACTCGATTTCTGTGAAGAGTGTGGCTTTAAGTCTTAGCACTTAGATAATTATCTGCTTTATAAAGCAAGGGGCTCGATTCAGTGATTATTCTTTTTCATGACAGAACTCCCTTCAGGGGTTCATTGAGGGTGACACTGAAATTTCTGTGTTTCTTTTCCTCCCACTTCCATCTCACTGAAGCCGTGAATCTCAAGAAACTTAAACATGGGCTTGTTGTAATCTCTCAGACATCCTTATAAGTCCACGCGTGCAGAAATGTTTGCAAGATCGGGGCTTCTTTCCAGCCTGTGCTAACACAGTTGCATTTCAGTGGTGCCGAGCTGGGGAGTGTGTCAGTAAAACTCCCATCCCTGAGCATGTTGATGGAGATTGGAGCGTGTGGAGTCAGTGGAGCATGTGCAGCCGGACGTGTGGCACAGGAGTGCGATTCAGACAGCGGAAATGCGACAATCCCCCGTAAGTTTTCACATCACGCTGATTTCTTTTTGCATGTAGCACTTAGACACTCCTTGCTGCAAGAGTGCAGGGAAGAACTGGAGAGCAGAGCTGTGCAGAAGCCACGAGAGTTTTCTTGTTCACAGGCAGCAAGGACCAGGTCAAAGCCCTGGAGTGACTCAGTAGGTTCTGTGGAAGTGGCTTGAGGTGTAACCATTGGAAGTGGCTCATTGCAATTATTCAAAGTTAGATACAATTGAATTAAAGATGTGTAATTTGGCAGAAAAATTGATGCTGTGTTTCCTGTCCAGTGCTGCAGTAAATGAGAAGTTGATCTGTACCTACAGACCAAACTGAGCCAATATGTCTTAGAGATCAGCTTTGCAGAGTGCTGGCGCTGGGCTTTTGGGAAGCGATAGAGCAGCTGACAGTGGTCGTACTGTCATGTAGGTGTGCTGGTAAAGCACCTTCAGATATTCTGTACATCAGGACGTGCTGCATATGAAAAGGAAAGTTTTCCCTCACACAGAGTGCAGTGGGTGCTGTTTAGCTTCTGCACAGTGACTACAAATAATTCTATGCTGTCTGCTTGGGCTTGGATTTTTTTCTGATTCAGGAAGAAATGGAAGTGATGTTATCTACTGATAACATGACCTCAAGTCAATTGAGGCACATCTGGAAGTCTTCTTATGGGAGGCCTGAAGAGGTTACCACGGTGGTAACTGACCACCCCTGTTTGTGTTGCAACTTCTAAAATGAATGACGGTGCTCACAATCTTGAGAGCAGCCCTCTAAGTTGTGTATCTCAAACTTTATTCGTATTTTAAGGTTTTCTCCACAGACAAAGCACAGGAAAATTTTCTTTTTAAATAAGAACCAAAATTCTAGCTAGCAACATATTCACTTTGAGGACATGCCTAGATGATGGATGGGCACATGCTGGCTGCTGTTGAGCTGTATTCATGTGAAAGGATATTTTTTGTTTATTCCTCTCCTTAAATAGCGCTGAATTGCAATTGCATGTCTGTATGTCCAGGCTTGATTTTTACCAACTCATTTTCCTGAACAAGGGACTGAACTGGTTTCTTTGCTGTCAGCTACAAAAAGTCTCTTTAACCACAGTGCTGACCGAACCTAAATCCATTCATCATCGTTCCTTAAATTACAGGAAATGCTCCCTCCAAGAATGCACACTGATTTTAAAATTCTCTTGCTCATATGCATTCTTGGCTGGGGATACACACGTGATCTTCTTTTGCTTCAGATTCCTGGCGTCAGCCCACTTCTTCTGCAGCTGGTTTATTCACTGTCCAAAAATATCGGCTAAGGGATTTATCTTTTATTTTATATATATTTGGTCTTGGGATTTTTTTTTTCTAACTGGAATCTCTGCTCCTGCCAGCTGACTTTTGAGCCTGTGGGACTATCAGTATTTTTCAACCAGTTGCTTTCACTGTTTGGTTTGCTTTTTCCTCTCTGTAATTTCTGTGAGTGTTTGCACGCGTTACCTCCAAACGGTTGTAGGCAGTGTGTCATGAGCCAGTTTGCACATGCAGAATTTTGGGTTGTACTGCCTTGTGCTCTTGTCTAGGCTTTGGACTACTGTTGTACCGTGAGACTGAAGAGAAAACCACTGGCTTAAACAGAACGTCAGAATGAAATCTCCACCCCTTCTCCAGTCTCCTCTTGTAAGAGGGTCACAGGAGTATAGATGGGCTTTGATTTCTTCTGCTCCATTAGTGGGTGGATTCTCTCAGCACAGATTCAGTGGAAGATGGCCGGGAAATTGTCTGCCAGGAGATCTCGCAGTCACTGCTTCAGGCATGTGTCAGGGTGGGCTTGAATTAGGCTGTTTATTGGAAATCCCAGGCAGTGCTAGAGCCCATCTTATACAAGGCTTGGGACCTGGGATTACAGGGATCTTTCCCTTCAGATTCTTTTGCAGAATCAGGTAGAAATGATGCCCAAAGTCTTGGCCTCAGCGTTTGGAGAGGTGGAAGGGACTCAAGGATGAAGCCACAAACATGGACTGAAGCAGGGAAAGAAAGGCATATGAATGAGTGCTAGGTGAGTGTGGGAGACCACAGAGAGTGACCGTCATTGTTTTCCTTCATCTGGCATGATGAAAACCCTCAGCATCCTGTTTAACCGTGACAAGAGGCCTATAATACTGAAATACTGTTACAGAAGTCAGTTAAGTAAATATTAGTGTCAGTAATTCTGCATTCCCTGCCCAAACAGTAACAGTGCAGAACATAATCAGCGTGGCAGAGCTATGCCTTGTCCATTTCTCTGGCTGCCTGTCCATGCCTGCTTATCTGCTTGCTCATGAACCCCTTGAATAGGCGCTGTGCATTCTACTAGTGTTTTCTTAGAGTTAGTCTAGTAGAAACCAGCAACATACCACCAAAGTATGGTGCTGGTGGAGAGGGGGGAGCAGAGTTGGGAAGGTCTTGTTGGCTATATTGTTTTGTGTTGGATTACTGGGAGCAGAATCATCCCTCAGATTGGTAGGATGCTCTGTTGTCTTGTGGCTGATGAGATGAGTGCATCCAGCTCTTTAATTTTTGGAAACACTACATCAGGAGGAGGCCGTTCATTTTACTCCTTAATTAGAAAGGGAAGACAAGGCAGGCTGCTGAAGAGCTGAGCAGAGGAATGCAGCCAAAAGGCACGTTGTTCCTGTAGCTTCTGCTGACGGGGAGTGGTGGGTGGCTCGGGAAGTCTGTCTCCTAATGGATTTGGCTATTACCTTATTATTGCCAGTGCCCATTATTACCAATAGTGAGAGCTGTGTGCTTGCAGTCTGCATTGGCAAACTCACAAGTTAAGATTAAAGCCAAAGCAACTGCTGATGAGCACAGCAAAGAGGAGTTTGGCTGTGTCTCCTGTTCCATGGCCATCATCTTGATACCCTACTTGAGAGAGAGCGCTGTTACTCTTTGGTTATTCTAACAGCTTTCTTTTTTGTTTTGTTGGGTTTTTTCCCTGTGCTTGTACACACAAACATGCACTGAGTCACTTACATTTAGTGGCCAAAGAGATGTTGCTGGAACTGAAGTTTGTGTATCTATGTGAGTGCAGGGTTCACGTGGGAAGAAGCCTGTATCATGCTTCTAGTCATCTGGACTGAGTGTCTGTCTCATCCAGCCTTAGGCAGCAGACACAATCCTCCCAGAAGATTTCTGCTTCAGTCTCAGCACATCTGCTGCCTTGCACGTGCTCATAGCAGAGGAGAGGAGTTAGCAGCGCAAGCAGGCGTTTGTTCAGGCTGTTCTTCTGCTGACTTTCTGAGATGTTACAGTGTCATTGGAGATCATCATTTCCATTAAAAAAAACCAAAACACTTTTTCTGGGATTTATGGAGCTACTGTAAAAACTTGATCTAGGCTGAAATTTGGCATAAAGCTCTTCTATGCAGAATCAAATGTTTCTGTTGCACCAAATGCTGAATCCATCAAGTCCAGCACAGCTAGGAAATCAGACCCAGTCCTACAGCCAGCATGTGAATGAACAGGGCAACTCCTGCTAGGACCACTGACACAAGTGATATACAGTGAGAGCCTTGGTTTCTAATTAGCTGAGCAATATAACCTGATGTTCATTGCTCTTCTGGGAGGGGAGGGGGGAAGAGGCTTTTGGAATGAAGTGCTAAAAACTGGAATTTGGCTGGAGTTACCTTTTATAGACATCTGTTAAAGAAAAGTAAGAACATGACTTTATCCATCTTTGCTGATTACAGGAGAATATCAGCAAGAAGCTCAAGAAATTATCTGTTAGAGTTGCTAAGTCTTTTGTTGACTTTGGGTTTTTTGTTTGTGTTTTAGTTTGGTTTGTTTTGCAAAGAAAATATAGGCTATAGTTGGGAGTTTGAGTTTTCCTCCTTCTCTGAGGAATAAAAAATAAGAATAAATAGATTTTGGAGGTTCTTAATTCTGATCTTGGATTAGTTAGTGGCCTTTCCTGCATGTTTAAAAAACAAATGTGTAAAATGGTATGGGTTTTGTGGATGGAGATTATCTGCTGCACTGATTTGTTTCTGGACACCTGCTTACAGTACAGGTTATAGCTACTTCTATGTTATTTCAGTTTCAAACTGCTGAAAACAGAATCTTAGAGGATATGTGCTGAAGAAACGTGTCCCCACTGTTAAGAGCATTTGAGGCAGGAGGCAAAGCAAATGGTGGGAAGAGAAAGGTGAAACGTTCCACGTTGCCTGCCTTTGCCTTGGGTATTGGGTGTGAGCCTGGGCACAGTAATGGCACCATGGTGCCTCTAGGTCCCTGTTAAGAATAGAAATACTTAACTTGGGTATTTGTGATGGAACCACACATTATCTTCTGTACCTCCTGGCTGTGCAAATATAAATAACACTTAGACTTCAGGTGTTGTGCTCAGTGCAGCTTCCAAAGCCTAACCCTCACAAGTCCCCATCAGTTAATCAGGCCTGATGTCACAGCAAAACCCAAAGTTTGGGAGTGCCTTACTTTAAGTCCTGTTCTGAAACTGCTGGTGAACACAAATGCCCACTCACACATTCTCTCCACTCTTTATCAGTTGTTTGCCTGCTGCAGCTGAAAATGGGTCAGAACAGGAATGAATGACTGTTGAAGTTAAAGAAGAAATTTAGGTCAGTGATGTAAAATCGGTCACATCCCTTGGTTCACAACCAGAACACAAACAGTTAAACACTCTGTATATTCTCAGAAGGCTGCTAAGTGCCCAAAGGTGAACAGCAGTTGGGATTACCTCTTGTCTGAGGTGTGCAATGTGTAGGCAGCCCTTATTCATTGTTCTGTGTATGGGATAATATAAAAGAACATCCTTCTGAAGTACTCCAGAGCATCTGTCACAATAAGCCAATTATAGATCCAGAATGGAGCTTGAAAAATTTTCTGTCAGAGCCACTGAGAGCAGGATTTGACCTCCAGCAAGGAACATCTGAGAGGAAGGCTCCTTCCTGCTATTTCAAGGGTTGTCTTGGACAGGGAAACTCAGGCGACAGTGTGCCTGTGAGTCACTGTGCTGTTAAACTGGTTTGTCTTTCCTGCGATAGCCCGGGGCCAGGCGGGAAGAACTGCCGGGGAGCCAGCGTGGAGCACACTGTGTGTGAGAACCTACCCTGCCCTAAAGGTGTTCCAAGCTTCAGGGACCAACAGTGCCAGGCCCACGACAGATACACCAACAAGAAAAAAAGTCTCCTGACAGCTGTCATCGTTGATGGTAAGATTTTTCATCTTCCTCTGTAATTCCTTGCTGCAAAAAGCTTCTCAACCCATCTTGATTTCATCTGCAAGACTCCCGTCTGTTGGTGAGAAGGCTACAGGATGTTCGCCTTAGCTGCACCTGAAAGATGAACTACAATTAGTTGTTCTTGGTGCTGTCCTTCTGTTCTTTTAGCCTTCTTAACAGAAGATACAGAGCTGTCAGTTCTTTACTCATCTTACTGTAATGCTGGGGGTTAAGTTCCTTAACTCGATTCCCAGTCTGAACAGGCAGGTCTTTGGGAATGGGGGTTTAAACATCAGAAAGTTCTAATTAATTTGGAACTGAAAAAACGAAGGATTCCCTGTGACTTTTTTGAAGTGTGTCAATTCTGGACATTTCAGCATGATTGCCTATCCTACTTGCATTCCTTTAATGCTTCCTTTGCTGGATCTTGCTGTTCAGCTACTGTTCAACCAGATGATGGGGGGATATGAAAAAGGATTGTAATAATGTCCTTTCTGCAGGAACAAACATCTTTTGCTGCACTCTGCTGAAAAAACAGAGAAGGCTGGTTTCATTTGGTCATCTTAAAGACATGCTTGAACAGAGGAGTGTGGTGTTGAAACTGATACCAGAAAACCAGACATCGGATAAGCCCTTTCCTGACAAATTAGGTCTGACGCCAGGACAAGCGTACAAACAGCATTTCCATTCCCATAGCAGACCCCTCAAGAGCACAATTCCTTTGGATGCCATAGGAGACAGGCTGGTTTTGCTTGTTGTTCCCCTCTGCCCCCTTCCCCAAATAGTCTTGCTGGGTGAATGCACAATGCAGAGCTACACACAATGCAGTCATAGCAAACTCAGTTTTCTCCAGGGGTGAGCTGTTTCGCCCCTTTCTCCATTTCCAGTCAGGAACTATGCATTGCTGAGGGTCCTGTAAACAGGAGAGGGCAAAAAAATGGATGATTCAGTGATCTTCTCTGATCAGTGCTGCCAAAATTACTAGCATATTGCGCTGGGAAATTCATTCAGCCACAGAAAGGGAATATGCTGGTTTTTGGCCAGCTGAAGACTAAACAAGCTATTTCTAAAAGATAATAGCCAACATTATAGCTGCCAAAATGCAACTTTTCTCTACCGATGTATAACGAATTTGGGGGTTTTTGGTAGATATTCTAGCAGCGTGATTTGCTGACAGAAGTGTTTGTAGGACCACAAATATCAGTTTAAGGAAGCAGTAGGTAGTATGTATGCAAGAATGCTTTAAATTTATGTAAACAAGTGTTCTTACTGGCAAACTCATGCAAGAAGTCAGTTCATCAAGAGCAGAAATGGACTGGAGAACTTGTTCTAAAATCTCTGTCTGTAGCCTGGATTTTGCCTGAGACGCTCACACAGTGACTTGGTTATTCATACCAGGCTGCTGGATGTTTCATGTAACAGAGATCTTCCATTCACAGATCCGTGGAATTGTACTCACTAAATGGTTTTCTGTGTCTTAAAAGACAAATCTCATCAAAGTAACCCTTTGAATAGAGATATTCTAGAGTGGGGAAATGACAGCCCTAAATTAAAAGGCTTATCTTCCCTCAAAGACAAGAATATCAAGAGACACCTTTTCAAATCCTTTCATGTAGAGACGGCATCACCATTGCCTCAAACACTTTTTTTTTTCTGTTCCTAAAACCAGTTGCTTTTGTGGTTTTTTTTTTTTTTTTCCAGATAAGCCATGTGAGCTCTTCTGCTCTCCGTTGGGGAAGGATTCCCCTGTGCTCGTGGCAGACAGAGTCCTCGATGGCACTCCGTGTGGGCCTTACGAGACTGACCTCTGTGTACATGGCAAGTGCCAGGTGGAGTAACTTTCTCTTGTTTTATTTCTAGTGTTACGTGTAGTCTGGGGCAGCCGTGTGTATCCTAGAAGAACAGGCATCCGTGTGGGTGGCTGGGAGGCTGGCTCTGAGGTGAGAGGGCAACCCTCTGTTATAAGACCCGTTGTAAGTGCTCCACAGCCCTGTGTCTTGGTCTAAGGATTATGATAAATGCCCGAGGTATGAGATTATTACAGAACAGCTGGGAACGTTCAGTGATCACATTTGCTTGTGTGTAGTCATCAGATGGCTTGGGTGGGAAGGGACTTCTGTGAGGGGAGCAGATGGGAGTGGAAATCTGGCTTGCTTAACTGCTCCATTCTGGCTGTTAGAGGAATCCCTGTAAAAAACACTGACGCTGCAAACTGGATTACAAATTGTCACAAGCCTGTTATAAGTGTTACATTGCCAGCATCATGATGCTTTTCAGGTCTACCTGCTTCTTGTCCAGAAATCCTGAGGAAGCTTTTCAATACCAGTTTCTCCTTGGCTCCTGCAGCTGCATGAGCCAGTAGCTTCCCCTGTGTGATTTTTGTTGACTGTATTACTAAATAATGGCAAGGTGAGTTACTGTAGGGGCCCATCAAAACTGTTTCCCTTGCAGTAAGAAAAGGTTCCTTTCCTCCCACAAGCAAGGTTTTAAACCTCCATGCATGAGGAGGACCTCCTTGCAATGAAGAGGACTCTGTTCAGGAGTCTTTAGCTTTGATTCCCTTTTCCTGGAGTGAAGGTGTGATGGCCTATAACCATTGCAATGATGATTATTTCTCTCTAGACAAATAACATATGGAACCAAAATCAGGTGTGGGAGATCTTTATAATACAGCTCTTCATGGTTTGCTGGTTTGCAGTGAGACAGTTCATAGTGCAGCACGTTGAATGCTTAGGGAGGCCATCCCTTAGAGCTGGTGTTTCAGATTCCTTGAGAATTAAGTGGAGTTGTGTAGATGCTTAACTGGAGATTTAAGCTTTGGACAAGGGAAGGGAGAGAAGGAAATGTTTATTTAAAGATCATAAATTACAGGAAGTCAATCAGAATGGATGCTGCTAGCAATGTGTTGCAGTTGAATTCAAGTCATTTGTCATGGACACTATGACAGGGCAGACACGTGGTGGTTTTTCCTTCTCCTCATCATGTAGTGTGTATTCAAAGTTTGCTGCACACATGTTAGTGATGGGAAAGACAGTTGAGTTGGCTACTGCAAACTTGCCAGTGCTGGATTCTTCCTGGCAGTTCTTCCTCTAAGTTTATCCTCGTCTAGAATTGTGTCCTCTGCCAGGAGTTCCTCTTTTCTGTATTAACCAGCCTGTTGGATCCACCAGAACAACTTTCTAGTATCACCCTTTACTTCCACTAAATTCACAGTAGATACGCTGGTTTGCCCTGGAGGCACAAGGCACGCCAAATTTGGTATTATTTTTGATTTGCGTGAGCAGTGATTGAGAACTACCAATTTTTATGTCTTTGAGCCTTCCAGGTAGGGAGATCAATGGAACAGGATACTCACCTGGGTATAAGAGAGGCTTTGGGGTCACAGTGCAGCTTTACTAATAGCAGTGCGACGAGATAACTGAAAAATCTTTGGATTGAATTTTGCACTGCTGCAGGAGACACTTCGCTCTGTTCCCTGCCAAACGCTGCTGAAGAGGCGTGTTTAATTCAGTCCTTCTAATTTAATGAAATGAAGAATCTCTACAGCAAGTTGCTGTGGAGCCAGCAGGAGTTTGATTCCTTATGTGGTCTTTTATACAAAGTGCTTTGCATAGAGCCAGGTTCACGGTGCATCCCAAGTTACTTAATTTTTCCCTGTTTTCAGCTGTATCTAAAAAAACCCTAAAAAATCCATTAATAACCTTTAGTAGTGAGGCCAGCTGTGCACCTCCAGCTGTGTGCCATTGACCATTGCGCTGTGCTGGCCAGCTTTACTGCTCCAGACATTCAGATCCGCCACAAATGGTAAATCAGACATTATGTGGCAATGTACGTTTTCTTCTTCCAGTGAGGAGCAGTAGCCTGCTCCCCTCCAAATGAAAACCTTTATGAGCACAGAGCTTTGGAGGTACATCATGAAAACCAAATTGCGCTCTAAGTCGGGGGCAACTGCCTTTAACTGTGCAGAGAGGTGATGACAGCTGCAGAACATTCAGTCCATTTGCATCTGGCTGAGAGAAAATGCGAAATGATCAATTCAAGCCGAGCAGATTTGAAAGCCTTGTGAACTCATTTATAATACTCTTCTGCCTTATATGCAGCTTAGCACTGAGAATTGCCATATGTGACTGTGTACCCCCTTTGCCACAGATACTTGTGTAACTAGCTGCCTATTAAACCAATTTAATCACCATATTCATTTAATTACTCTTCTCCTCATTTCTTCACCCAGTGTAGACAAAGCCTGGCAACAAGCATTGCAGGGGGCCTGGAGAAAAGAATAAGTGCTGAAATCAGAGGGTGGTATTACTGTTATTTATTTTCTTGTGTAATCCTTCTAGTTAAAGGCTCTCAAAGGCAGGAATGACAAATTGCCAGTGTAACAGACAAATTAGCAGTAACCCTTGCCTGCAAACATCTAGTCCAGGCAGTGTAATAGCTGTTTTCCCTTCAGCAGTAGATGCTCCTAAATGAAACTCGTGCATCGTTGTGGCATGATGAATGGATGTAGATGAACATTGCAAAGAAAAAGACAATTTTTGCAAGGAGAGAGGGGTTTTGAGAAGGTAAGCAGGAAAAGATTCTTTGAACCTTCAAAATACTCTAACTGCATTTTGGCACTAAGGGAGGAGAGTTTTCCTTCAATTGTACTTTGTGAACTTATTACGAGCTCCAGTCTAAACAGTGTGAAAAGCGTTTTGGTGTCAGCCTCACTATCGCTGAAGCAAAATCATCACAAGCAGCAGCATCCCTGTATTTATCACTTAAACCTGAAGGCAGCTGGAGTGAGTAAACTTGGTCAATACTTTGGTCATGCGTAGAAGCACCAGAGAGCAAAGTCAGCCTTAAATTTAGCATGGGGGTTCCTAAGTCACCTGGACTTTTTATAAACTTACTTCTTGTCTTTGAGACAGATTATAAGGTCTTCATTCACTTTTATCCCATCCTTGTTTATATTAGAGTTGTTTTTGAGGCTGAACATTTCATTCTTGATCGTGGTAGAAGTTTGCCAGAATGAGGACAGAATAAAAGCTATGCAAGAGCTTCAGGAGTTGGTTTTGAAAATTGAAAGGAGTGTTATCCATTTAGAAGAAACGTTGTAGAGTAGCAACAAATGCACTTATCTTTACCATCTTCTTAGCAAACAAGATGCCTTGCTCAATGTTTATATAGGTCTTTGACCTTTTCTTCTTAAAATTCGTGTAGCCTTCTAGCAAGGAGGATTTCTTTTCTCCTGCGATTTTTCAGAGACAGAAAACCTGTAGCAGTCTGGAAAACAAAAGCAGTCTGATTCATCTGAGGAGGAGGAGGGTGAGTGTTCGTGTAGGCTTTGCAGCCTCTCTCTCTTGCCTGCTTCCACAGTTCGCTTTCTCTAGCGTAGACATCGTGCCATGGTGCAGACAGGGCAGGGCAGCACAACCTGCAGCTCAGAGTGCTGTTACGTTCTCATATTCTCTTCAGGTAGCAAGTGGCTTTCAGAGAGAGAAGATTCCCTGAGGGTTTTGTTCTTCCTCAAGACTGTTTGATGTACATTTCATGAGTCAACATTCATGGAAGCTGTGCGCTTTCTAACCTCTTACGGTTCTTCTCTCTGTTTGTGCTGCTGATGTTAATAGAAAACTGCTGGCAGCAGCAGAGCTGCAGAAGGTGTCAGATGTCACACAGCAGTGGTGTGGGGAGAAGACAAGCTGCTCAGCTGGCTGCGATGACGCACATGACTTTGTGCTGGCTTTTCTCAAAGGAGGATTAGTCTGAGACTCTTGATAGCATGAGAACTTTCCAGTGGGGACTACAGATTGTACTTTAGGCTGTAATCTGAGGTCTCTTTGAAAAGAGAGACCTCCTGTGTAGCGGAACCGGGCTAGAATCTTTGCTGGGATTTGACAATTTAAGAGGTGACAATGTTTTGGCTCTAACTACCGTTTTCTCATGAATGTTTTGTCATGTCACGGCTACTTTTAACTTGCTGGTGAGTCCACAGTCCGTTCAGTTATGACAAGCTGCACATTAGGCTGTTGTGGCACAACAGAAATACTATAGAATGACTTTCCTCCAAAATAGGTTGTTGTACAGCATAAAAGGGGAGCACAAACTTGAAAATGGACACATTTGGAAAAATAGTTTTTGCAGATTGGATAGGCCAAGTGTCAGGAGAGGGCCACAGGTGGCAGAGGATAAATTGCAGTTGTCTACTGGACCTGTTGCTGGCAAACAGTTTTCTACTTACTCTGTACCCACTTTTTACATTTGATTGATGCATGCAGTTCTGGCTTTGCCTCTTCACTTGAGTATTTTCCCGCGTGTTCTTGCGTTACAAACTGTGGTACAAGATGTTCCAGACTGGTTAGCTTGTCTCCATACAACAACTTGGCTTAGCACTGTACTTTGCTAAATTATTTAGTGTATGTGCACAAAATCCAGAAGAATTGTTTGAACTATAGAAACCTGTTGTATAATTGCCTTTTTTTTCAATTTCTGATCCTTTGGTATCTGCAGCCTGTTGACATTTGTATGAACCAGGGCCAAGGCAGGGTGGAATCAGGTCAGAGCTGTCAATTCAGATGAGGCTGGTTTGGAAGGATCAGGAAGGAGTAGCTACAGAAAGTGACCAAAGAACAGAAGCAAAGGAGTTCCTGGGATGGGAAAAGGCTTTGTATAATTTGCATGTTCGCTCATATAGCCTGCTCTGCTGCCAGAACATGGGGGTTTTGACACATACCCTTCAAGCTCTATACTTGAAGTTATCAAAAATAATTGTGTCTAGCATCTCCATGAACTGCTAAGGGATCAAAACACAGTGGGCAAGTGTAATTGCGTATCTAATGCAGATAAGATAATGCTAATTGAAAATAGGCAGTGCCTATCTCCTGTTCAGCAGAGCTGCTCTGATTCAGAGAAAATCTGAAGGCTCGGGAAGTGACAGGGGGATATTTGCTGAACTAACTTCTACATGGACTCCAGTCGATCACATAAATTTTGTTGTGGAACAGAAATAGAAGTAACTTACAGATGAACTCCTTGATTAGGCATCTAGGCTCACCTTCCTGTACAGACACCCGTAATCCTCCACAAGGGTGGTTGTGTTTAAAACAAAGAAATAAGAATTCTCTTACCCTCAGATCTAAATGTCAGTTGCTCACATATGTACATTCCTGTTTCATGTGGTCCATCTCTGGAGGTATGAATGGACACTGGATATTATGGACAAAAAATTGGCAGTGTAGATGAAACTGTCATAACCAGCGTGCTCTGTACATGATTAATTTGTAAAATGGCACATGTTGCATCAATATTTATGTTTGATCCATTGAGACAGCTAGTTAGTTCAGCATATGGGAAGCATTACAGTTTTGTGAGCCTACAATGTCATTTCTTACACAGGGTGGGTGTATATAACAAAAATAATTGTGTTTATGTAGCAAAACATACTCACGCAGGCTGTATCGATTGAGCTCTTGCACTGCATTGAAAATACAAATAAAAATATCATTAAAAATATCCAAGCAGTACAGAAAACAGTTCACACAGAAGAATACAAATGATGTGTATTCAGAAGAGAAGAGGAGTTTTCCTATGCTGGAGCCAGCAATGACTGAAACTGAAAATACCACCCAACAAGCAGTATTTTCAGATGTTTAATTATAAAAATGAGAAGGGGGAGGGAGAGAAGGAAGGGTGGACTGAGATATCAGCTCAGAGAGAATGAATTTCAGGCCTTTGGCTCAGCAAATGTGTGGTTACCTGCCAATTTAAAAGTCACTGGATAGTTCCAAAACATGGTGTCAGAGTAGGAGATGCCTGGGTTGGAGATCATGAAAAACCTGGGGATATAGTTGTGACTGTCCATGCTGAGGACTTGAAGCCCCAAAAGACTATCTTTTAAGTTTCTTGCCAGCACTCCCATGTTTTAATATGGGCGAGGGCCTGGCTTTGGTTAAAATCCACTTCCTCTGTGTCCAATTGATGCTGTTAATAGCGGTACCACAGCTTCCAACAGTTAGTACAGGCAGGAGCTGGAACTCCTGAGTAGTGTCAACATCAGTCCCTTTGCCAAAGTTATGGATATCACTATCCAAGTCCATGTTGGATGGTATGGGGAAGCTCCAAGAGTCCAAGAATGGGGCTGACAGGGGCGAATGCACCCACAGACTACTAAACAGATGGTAGTTACACCAGGCTGGCTTTTTACTTTTTATTCTTCTTCTGAACATGGAATGGATCATCCTGGTAAGAATACAAAACTGCTTCCCTTCTCACCAATCCATTCAGTGCTGATGGAACTGAAAGTATCCAGTTATTGCTGGATGGACTGGTCCGTGGACTCAGTCTGCTCACCTGCAGGATAACTCTTGGATCAGAAAACACACAGGATGTTATTTACAAGGTCTTTCTTTCCTCAGAATGTAAGCCTTCCCCTTTCTGCCTTTCTGCTTCTTGATTAAAAAAATCACCTTACCTTGGTCAGTAAGCTGGACCGTGCAGGAAGCAGTGCAAAACAAGTTAGAGATGGTAAAAACCAAATAACTCCTTTGAGCTATTGGGGTTTTGAGGGATTGTTTCTGCAGTACGAAAATTTGACTTTTGAGCAGTGAAAATTGGGATTTTCCCTTTGCATACAGTTAATGAAGCCCTCACTTTTTGGAAAGCTTTCTGCAGGTTGAGGACAGCTCTATCTATTTCAGTGATGAACAGTATAATACATACAGCATGCAGGATAATGTCAGCGAGAAGCTGATGATGTACAGACTCGATAGATCTTCCCCCTTGGTCTGGTGGGGCTCAGGCATAAGCCTCAGGCCCTCATTGCTGGAATCTCAGAGGCTTTCTCACCTAGGAGAAAGCTGGACATATCTCTCAATTAACAGTCCAAAGGCTGCTGGCAGATTCTTTCCTCCCGGGAAGGGTGATGCTCACTGTGTTTTGCTTCCTCGCCCTTCCAGCCCTGTCTCTTGCCCCTTGCCACTTGTTTTGTGGAAGTGTTTTCAATGTGGGGAGTTTTCAAAGGATACAGGTGACCAAGGTGGTCCCTGTAATGTGTTTCTAAATGACTTTTCAGCTTTTGTAATCCATTTTCATATCTTAACAAAAGCTGTTTCATTAAGTACTGTTATTAAATACACTTTTACTTTGGAAATGATTGGAAGACTTGGGGAGGAGGGGGAAATGGGCTCTAATGTTTATGTAGACAAGAGTAAAGTGCTTCCAAGGTACTTTTCCCTCATAAAGTAGCAAGAACGCACCAATTTTCATCTTGAAGCCAAGAAAGAAAACTGTTCTATTCTCTTAAAAAATTTCCTCTGTAAGAAGCCATCTCCTGGCCCAAATCTGGTGGAGGCTTAAATCTTCAAGCCCTGGATTGAAGGGAAAGTCTGCCCTGTGGATGGGAGGGATGGTGCCATTGACGAGAAGGCTGCAGGGGCCAGTTCCTCCACTCACAGGGAGTTAGGGTGAAGAAGAAAGGTAAACAGATTTTGGAAGGTATATGTGTAGATTCAGTGGGTGTTCCTTCCATGCCTTCAGAGAGGGTCTCCCAAGTCAAAGTGTGTCAGTGACCCAGTCCATGTGGAAGGAAATGGCTTGCCTTGAACCTCAGCATCAGAAGAGGCAGGACTTACTCCTTCAGAGGCTTTTCTGGCTTGCACTGGTTTACATTATCTGGGGAACTACAGCGTAAATGCAAAGCATGTGATTGCTAACTCCCCATTCTTTGCTCGCCTCTGTTACAGTCCTACAGACTCCTCATGTAGCACTGGGAATAAGTGTGGTTCAACACTCATTATATTCCCTTTATTCATTTGTACTCTCGCATAGTGCTAATAACAATGCAGTACAATAAAAGATAGCACTAGAATCTTAAATTAAATGCAGCCTTTCCAGTATCTCAGCAGGGTGGCAGGCAGGCATATGTTTCCAGCTGCCTTTCAGCAACCCCATTAATAAATCATATTTATTTTCCTGGAAGGAGAACTGCTGGGACATCCTTCTGTTTTGAGGGCAAAATCACATTCAATATCCCAAAATTATTTGTTGGACATGGGTGTGAAGTTTAGACTTGAGAATTGCAACTGCCAGAAACTCCATGGTCTTCCTACCTTCCTCTAACTCCCATTTGTACAGGTTTTTTCCTGTAGTTCCTGTCCATCAATTTACATGCTGTTCTAGTTAATGAGCAGCGTTTCCCTTGTATGTGTTTAGGATGATCATCCTTTCTCAGCATGTGTCCGTCTTTAATGATTTACCCAGACAAACGCTGCATCAGAGCACGTCTGAATGCTGGCAGACTTTGATCCCTGTAACACATCTGGACTTAGGCAGTGGCCAGTGTCTTCTGAAACAAGGGGAATGTTTGAGTTCAGATCCAAATCACATTGCTTACACGCAGACAGTCTCAGATAAACAGCCCAAGTTCTTCTAATATTTCCCTGCTTACCCTATTTTTCAAAATGTTTGTTGTTTCGATTTTTCCCTAAGATATCTCTCCAACTTTCCTCTGGCTTTATTATAAGAAGGCAAGGAAGGGAGAGACCCAGCAGCCTTATTCAAATCAGTTTTATTAGTGACAGTCCTGCGAACTCATTTGCCAAGAAACTGTTTATCTACAGAGAATAAATCTTCAAATTATTTTTCATAGTAGAATCTCTGCTAATAATTTGCGTAATGACAACTCTTATTTCAGTAGAAATTTATGTTTTAAGAGTGAGTTGCTGATTATTGTGAGGGTCTTACATGGACAGAAGACGATTTAAATTTACATAGACTAATAAGTCTTATCAACCTCAAGATAAATAAATGTGCAGTGGTCACCATTGTAACCTGGAGATGGTTTGTGAGTAAGGAAGATTGCCACGACAATCTCTACCGCTACAGGGACAATACTGTGACTGTTCTAGTAATACCTGTCTGTGGAAGCAAAGCTGCAGATTTTTTTGGGGAAAAGTTTAGGTAGGTATGGAAAAGAATGAAAATACCGTTTAAAATGAAGCTTTAGGTCAAATGGTTAGTTTTTAAATTTTTTTTACAATTGAATGTCTAAGCTTAATACAGTGCAAGCATCTGTAAGATTTCATAATTGTGTAAGCATTCTTATGGTACAGATTGGCCAAATATGAACCTGACCTGCTTCCACTGAAGTACTTTTGCATTGCAGGTATCTTAAGCCATTTGATTAATGAGGTCTTTTTTCAGATATTGCAAAAGTGTAATCAGAACTGGATGTTACACTCCCCGTTAAGATCCCAATCCAAAGCAGAGCTCATTCACTGAATAACACACCAGAACTTGTAACAGCACTCTGAATTTTTGTGTGGTGAAGGGCTGTGACTGGGGTGCTGGTTACTAGGGTTAATTTTCATTTAAGGAAGTCACATTTTTCTCTTCTCTAAAATAAAAATCACAGTAGTGGTCAATTTCCCTGGATGTCTTCAAGCTCCTCAGGTGGAAATTGCTATGCAAACAGGAGACATTGTCTTCATCTGTTGTGTTTGAAGGAAGTTAGAGTGGGTTAGTATGAAATCCATGGTGATATCTGGAATAACTAGTATTTGTGAAACTCCCTTCAGTTAAATCTTCTGAATCAAAGTTCATGCTTCTCTAAGAAGGGGATTACTGAACCAACTCAACACTGTTCCAAGTGAGTGCTCCCCTGATTCAGAGTGTTCTGCTCCTGTTCAGGTTTTCAGTCAGATGTCTATCTTAGGCTTGACCTCAATGTTTAGAGATACTTTAACCTTGCAAACAAAATAATGGGGCCCTCTGGTTGTTGTCATTAGAAAATTGGCTGCGATGGAATCATTGGCTCAGCTGCCAAAGAGGATCGCTGTGGAATCTGCAGTGGTGATGGCAAAACCTGTAAAGTGGTGAAAGGCGACTTCAACCACACCAAGGGGATGGGTGAGTAACCCTCAGCAGCATTTTAGTGGAGTGGAGGTTCTCTGAACTGCTTGAGGAGAGTTAAAGAGCGATAGTAATAGCTCTTCTTCTTGGATAGCACTGGACTCATCTGCTCTAGTTAACACCTAAGAAACACAAAGCAAAACCCAACTCAATTCAAATGTGATACTCTGTCTGCTTCTTACGCAGTTGCCCAGATACCAGCCATTGCCTCTGTCTGAAATTCAGAATGAAGTTGTGTTTCTCATTTTGAATGCTCCCGGTGCCGTTGATTTTAAATAAGAGACAAAATCACAGTATCTTTTCCAGTGAGAGGGAAGTCTGATATCAGCATCATCTTTGAGGTCTTTGAGAGCTCAGAATGATGCATGTTTTATGTTGCAGATGATTCATGTTATAATCAGGGTATATCAGTTAAATGAAAGAGCACTCCCCTCCGAATATTTTTACTGATTCCCTGCCAGAAAGAGTATCCATTATAGGATACAGGAGCTTCTGGTCCGACTTAAGACTTTCCCCTCTCTTGTTAAACATTAATGTATATACAGCTTGGTGTTTGAATTAGTCTTAGTTCCAGAGTTTCTGTATTGTGCTTCCGAGAAACTCGCAAGCTGTTCCAAGAGGAAGGAATTGTCCAGAAAAAATTATTTCACATTCAGTGTATATAGAATTGCCATTTGTGTGTGGAGAAATACATTCAACGTGTGCTCCTCCGGGACTGAGTGCAGCAAAGCACATAAAGGTTCCCTCTAAGCACACACTTCAATTCTATTTAGTTACTAAAGCAGCAGCAGTGCTCAGCAGCTTCCTTTAATCGACGTCTCAGCACTCAAGTCTGAGGCTCTGATTTTGTTCGTTGACCTCTTCCTCTGCACCCTCATGCTCCTTGCCTGTGGACCCAGCTGTGATCTGTTGCCTCCTCTGAGATGCAGGTAGGATTTCTCCCCTGCACCACATCCTTCTGGAGCACATTTGTGCTGTTGCATTGCTAGGCCAACCTGTTGAATGATTTCCTGCACTATTGGCTTTGATTCTTTTGTCCTAGTTATCTTCTACCTACTTATGTCAAGATATTTGCATTTGATGCAAATGGTGGGAAAAGTGTCTCATTTCCACTGAAAAAAAACATTCTCCATTTCTGTAGTGGGTTTTATAGCTGTTCCTCAACTTCTTAATTGCTCCCAAAGAGTAACTAACTATCTTTTATCTTTTCCAATGAGACTACAAAACATGTTGTGCAGATAAATAAGAAATTTCTGTGTCACTGCCAAGAGGTTGCACCCGTTTCCAACTAGACAGACTGCTTGAGGGTGGTAACTTTACGAGGCTGTAGGAACAGAACAGTTTCAGCCTTAGCTGGTTGTCTGGCTGCCAGGACACTACAGGCAGCTTTCACCCCCAGCGCCCTGTAACCTAATAAGAGATGGCTGACTCTGAGTCATGGTCAGTGTTCAAACATTTATTCATCCTTTTCTTTGCTGATCATCTCAGAAGTGCTAATCTGTCAAAATGTTACTTTGTCAATGCAACATTCCCACCTTTACCCATCTCACATAATCTATAAAATAATTGTTTTTACAGTTATAATCAAATGTTTTGGTTTATTAATTTTAAAGAGAATTGAGTTTTATGTGGGAGTAGTTTTCAAAAGTGACATCCATGGTATGCCAAACAATCTTCTTCTATGTTGAAAAGCATCTTTGCTTTTCATTTTTTTTAAATTATGCTCTTTCAGTGAGCATCCTAGCCTACTAAAACAGAATATTTATGTTCTTGTAATTGTTCACTGTTAATGTTTTCCTGCTTTCGGATTTCTTTTATGTTAGACACTGAAAACAGACATGTTGGTTTCACTTCTTATTCCCAGCCCCAATTCTACAAACATTTTAGGCATTGTGAGTTACTCCCATCAATTTCTATTTCTATACTGCTGTTTTGCAGAATCAGGTCCTCAGGTTAGCTTACTGAATCTCATGCAGTAGGCAAAGCTCCAGGGCTGGGTCTGAGGTATCACAAGTGAACATGAGGTTACTCAAGACAAAAATGGTCCTTTGGTCCTTTTTTCTTTAAAGTAACATCTAAGCAAATATTGGGACAAAGGAGAGTATGCAGTATGGCTGCGGTAACAGATTCAGGGTCTGGAGATGTAAATGATTACGTAGGTCAGTGGCAAATCCTCATGAGCTTGCTGTGATCCAAGTCAAGGCCAACACAGTAAGTCAAGTATGCTGATTTATTATTTCAGAAGAGAATAGACTTCAAGTATCAAGACATTGATTGTTTTGGAGTGGTATCTGTTTTGGGAATTGCAGCCGCAACCTTTGGGCTAGATCCTCAGCTGCTCTGGACATGTGACTCCGTTGACTGCAGGATCGGTCCCTATATGTCCTGTGATTGCAAATGATGTTGTCAAGCCCTGTTAACTGCACTAAATACATGCCAACTCCTTTCTGTTTCTTAGTAACCAATAGTCATTGTAAGAAGGTTTCCACATGTGTGATGGCAAAGGCAAAGGCTGTTCCCAAGTGTTTCTCGTGTAAGATACTTGAATGCTGTTTGCAGTGTCAGCGGGTGTTGGTGACATCCTTTGGTGTTGGTTCTGTGTCTTCTTTTGGTTGGATTAGATGGGGAGATTGGTATCAAAAGCCATGGATAAACTTCAAGTCCTTTTACTACTCAGCTTGGTTTGTCATAGATAGCAAGTACAGATCCTTTCCTTTTAGAAAACCTATCTGCCTGAAAGAAAGACAAATTTTCATTAATCAAGTAAAAAGAACCGGGCCTATTTCTTCTTTTTTCCAAACTTAATGTCATAGATGAGGTCCTACCACCCTGCTGAGGCGTGATGGTAGAATATTCAGAGTGCCTCATAGGAGGTCCAGCAGTTCAGATCTTGCCACCTGTGATCCAGGGCGATCCAGCTGTAAATGGATTCCATTCCTCTTTTGGGGAGAAGGTCAGAAGCCTTTATTTGTGATGGTAAACATCACATACACTTGTGTGCAGCTGGCTGTCTTCAGTAGGCCAACTGAATGCACCGTTTAGACTGCGGGTTTTTTTTGACTGGCAGCATGCCCTGTACCTATTTCTACAAAATAATTTTTCAAAACCAAACATAGACTTGTTCCGAAGCCCATCTCTGTCTCCCTGCCACTGTACAGGAGGCCTAGGAATAAAGGACAGCTCTTTGGCTTGTCTCTCTTGGGTAGCTGATTTATCACTGACTTCTGTCCAGACTCCAAGGCTGTGCCTGTAATGCTCAGAGACCTACATTGAGAATGTGACCTGCGTCTATCTCTCTTGATTTTTCTCAGCCATATCAAGATTTTCATTGCTGTCCTTTGCCTGTGATCCAAAAAAAAAGGACCACAGATATTTGGATTTATTTAATAGCAGAACATAGTAAGGTAAGATATGCTAGTTGTAGCTATCATTTGGGGAAATGAAGAGTGTATCTTTGTTAGCAATTTCTCTCTTTAAGATGGTGAAAAAGCAGGCTTTTTATTGTGTACATTACTTGTTCAGCACATATTTAAAAGAAGGAAAGGATATTTGAACAGTAGTGCTGGCTAGGAGCATCTTTAGCCAACACAAGAAACTCTTTTTTGTCAATAGGATGTACATCTAAATTATGCGAAAATAGAGCCCTAGGGCTAACTTGGGGATGTCTTGTAAGGGTTTAAGCAGAACATGCAAGTTAGAAATCCCAGCAACCAACCTTACAGCAATAGTAGGAGGCTTTGAAATCTATCCATGGCTCCCTAGTGACATGATTTTCTTCCAAATGAGCTATCCCATGGCTGGAAGCGGACAAGTGCCATTGGAGGAATTACTCTCAAGCTAATAGCAAGTGAGAATCATCACATCTATTTAGAAAATGGACTTGTAGTTGCCATTGGACATATTTCCACTCCACTGCAACAACTAGCACTCAGCGAAAGGTGCAAGGTGGGAAGGATCGTGGAAACTGAGATGCCCAGCTGATACCTCCTGACCAGGAGATGGGCAGGGCAGTCTGATTTCCTTGGCTTCTACCCTGAGATCTTTGTTCAAATCACCTTTGGGAAGTTTGATATTGGGATGAGCACTATTGACTTTCTCACACCTAATTTTCATGGGTGAAGAGGGATAAGATGTGAAGGTATAGTGCCCAGAGACCAGTACTTTCAGCCATGGGATAATTTTTCCTTTACCTTGGAGTCCGTCTTTTATTGCAATTTGAACCAGGAGAATGGTTTTATAGTAGATCAGTGACATTCTGAAGTTACACTAAACTTCCTGTTCTTTCTGGGAATAACAGCAATGGCTAACAATAGATTTTTCTATGTGAGCTGCTTTCCTCTTGTAAATCTCTCCAGCATTTAAATGAAGATACAGTAGCCACTGTTCACATATTAATCTCCTTGATGACAAAGCCACCTCTTTGTTCTGATGTCTCTCCTAATACGAGTTACACCATATAATTTGTATCTAGGTTTTGCTTCAATCACAGTCTTACATTCCTGAGACACTGATGTAATGCAGATTATCCAGAAAGATTGGTGCCTGCCAAAGTAACTGTTCCCAAGGTGGAGTATACTACATACAGCACTATAAATTATCAAATAATGAAGTTCTCCTGTTGTACTTTCAAAGCTTCATCTTACCAGGCTGATTTATGGGTGAAATTACTAGAAATACTGCCTGATAGTTGCCAAATCTCATCAGTCTTTAACCAGTTCCTCATTTAAAGCAGAACTTTAAGCCCAACCTTGCAAACTCCTGCATTGCAGACAATTATCCTAAGAACTAACAGATCTTTGAGAGTCCTTGACTCAGGGCCAACTCTGAGGCTTTTTTTGGTCTTACTAGCTGACACTTGGTAATCTTTCTGGCAATCTGCAGTTACAGTTTGCTTAATAAAATGTGCCTGGAAGACAATGGAGGTGTTTTCTGGTACAGTTATCTCAAAGATCAGGAATATTCTGTGACCAGAAACCACACATTAGCTCTAAGGAGCAGACTGGAGTGGTGGTAGCAATCTGACTTTGTACTTGTAGCAAATTTGCATGGATGATATGTTGTCTGTTTGCAATACGATTTGAGACTAACTCGCACAATATTGCTGGAAATAACAAATGGGAGCGTCAGGATGCTCCCAGTGGGACATGCCCAAGAATTCTGCTTCATCTTTGAAACGACAGGTCAGATCCATACAACTACGAAGCAGTTTGCAGTTCCCTAAGAGGAGTGTGAAGGTCAGCAGTCGGGTTTGTGCCACATGATCTCAGTGAGTTAGCACAGTACGTTTCTTCTTCAGGAGCTGTGAGTACAACCCCCCAAAGTCATCAATCAGGATTAGAAATTACACGAGGGAAAAAAAAAGTCTGGTGTAAGACCAAACTAAACAGCCTCCAGAACTAATATGCTATTAATAGCTTACACTCCACTATTTACCATTGTAAAAAGTAACATAAAAGTCAGCTTTTCCACGTGGTGTTTCTCTCATGGCACAGCGATGAAATGAGAGCTTATTTATGGCACGAGCTGAACCTCAAGCACAGCTCCACAGCTCACTCACCTCTAAGGCAGTGTGACACACTCCTGGCTGCTGCTAGGTCAGGGGACGGATCCAGAGTTCACTGAAGTTAGTGACTGGCTTTCCCCTAAATTCAGTGTAGCTTTGTATCCAGCCTCTGAGTGATTTAAGTCTGGGCATTTGTATCTGGCGTGTGATTTAAAAAAACAAATAAGTAAATAGACCCCCAGTAGGTACATTAAATGACCTGGAACTTGGGCATGTTCCAAGCTGGCTTCCTAACAGGGGTGTTCAGGTGTGTCATAGGTCCTATTTCCCTATTAATGACGGACTGTCATTAATCACACTTTTGCTGTGTGCTCATGTCTGGTGATTGTTGGTGGGGTTTATACGCAGATGCATGGGGTGCAGTGAGGATGTTTGATTTCTGAAACACTCTGTTTTGACTGTAATTCGGTATCTCATCTGATGAAAAACCAACTTCTGTCAATGTCTAGAATGAAATCCAACATCTGTTTGCTTTGATTTCGTAACGAATTTCAAAATTGCCTTAAAAAAATGGACCCTGGAAGTAATTTTTTTTCCCAGTGAAACCCACTCTGTAGTAGCAGACGGGAGAGCCACTGCTCTGGCTTCTGTACACAGGCACGGTCTGCAGCTCTGCTGTCCCTCTTCCTGCTTTTCCTGCAAGGCATGACTGACTGTTTCTGAGATAAAAGTGAGAAATAAGTAAGGACAAACAAGTGCAAAAAGGACTGAGCTGACGGGTGAAATGGAAAGCGTCATTCTTTCTTTTCACCACATGAAACCCGAGAGCTCAAGCCTTATTCATAGCAGAATAGAGGGCCTGGCCACTCTGCTGGTTCAAACAGGTAGAAATGAATCCACAATCAGAGATGCAAAATCCCCGTCTGTCTTACTCCATGTCATAGCGGTAAGAGAATCACTTAGTCTCGAGATGCGTGAGGCTGTCAGCATCCTCCTTTGAGGCCCCCGTATCAGTGTAGCAGAAGCACGGCCATTCAGCTGCACTTATCCCTAAAATATCTCCCCAAACGTTGCTGAATGCTGGAGGAGTCCCTGTTCCTTATGCCAGCACTTCTCCAACCCATTTCTCTAGACCGCCCACGATTTCCGTAAAGGCAGGGCTGACACAGAACAGTTTCACACAGCCCTTTAAAGCAAAAAAGGGGATGAGGGAACATACAGGATAAGCTACTTAACATCTAAAAGAAAGGGGAGAGGAATAACCCACAAGAGGTGCCAAGTTATACTCTGCGAAATAAACTGGGTGGCCAATTAGAAGGAATCAAGTCACGGCTGTGATGAGATTAGTGTCATTTACAGGGGCCTGATTCGGAGTCCAGTGAAGCCTGTGGAAAAACTCTGCCTGACTCCCAGACCTTTGAAATGGGCTCTAACGTTCCTCAGCTTTTTAGTTGAAAGCCACCACTTCCACCCCATGGAAGAAGTCCGTAACTCGACATGGCTCCGTGGCAGGGGAAAATAGGCTGCATTTCCTTGTAGCTCGTAATTATTCTTACTAATATTCTCTTAGTCGAAACTGGTATAACTGTGTCGTATTGCTGGTTGTTGAAGGAAGCAGGAAAAGGCCAAGAGACTTTCAGAAAGATAAAAACCAGGAGAATTCTATAAAAATATGATGAGGTGCTGTAAAGACTTCCCTACTGTGTCAGATGCTCAAATGGTCTAATTTGGCATGTGCGTCTGCTGGCGGTGTTCAGAGGGGACTGGTGGTCAGTCCTTGAGAAACTTTCAGCTCTGTTGTTGCATTAAATCTGAGCTGTGAAATTCTGTTTAGCAGCCCAATGCAAGGAGGCCATTATCCTCCAGAATTTTTATATAAAGCTGAAGTGTAAGGGAAAACAAATTTTCTTTCCCCCAGTTGTCCCACTAGTTCCTGCGGTTTAGTTTTAGCATTGTCAAAATGTTTTATGGAAGGGAGCCCTTTCTGATGCTGACCACAGCCTCGAGCAGTGTTTTTGGTTTTTTTTTTTTCCGGAGGGGAGACAAGGAGCATCTATTGGAAACTTCATTTCAAATCACAGATGTGTGTTCTGTGATGTGCCGTGTTGCTCCTGACAGTGACACTTTGCATCAGGAACATTCCTCATGCGCCCCTGTCAGTACCACAGGAGAGCCGGCGTGATTTGAAGGGAGCAAATGTAATTAGGCCCAAGTACAAGCCTTACATCACAATTAAGCAGTGCACGTGCATTTCTCTCCCTCTTCTCAGGCTGAAATGTTAGTCATAACCGTGCATGTCACAGCAGTGAAACTTGGCTGCCAACACAGGGATCTCATTTGAAGTGTTTCCCAACCCTTCCCCAACCTGGGCAGGAGTTGATTTTTTCACGGTGAGATACTGAATGACTGATGCCTCTGGCTGTCTGTGACATGCTCTCATCCATCTGCTCTTTTCCTGCCATAGGTTACATCGAAGCAGCTGTGATCCCTGCAGGTGCCCGGCGGATCAGAGTGGTTGAGGATAAACCTGCTCACAGTTTTCTGGGTAAAAAGACCAAAAAAAAAAAAAAATTGATTCAAAACTCAGTTCTGTTCTGTGTTAAAATGACCCTTCTCTAAATGACCTGTAAGATGTTAAGTTTTTTGTTGTCAGGAGGCGGCTGTTGATTTTATTCTTGTTGCAATCTCTCTCTGCTCTCGTGCCTTGGTTGCATGACATTTGCTTGATGTGATAGTATGTGACACTTACAGGCTCTGTGCAGCCTGAAAGGACCAGAGGATGCTTTTACACAGAGAGAAGAGTTCCTGAGCAGAATTTGGCACTGGGTTGAACATAGCTGCCAGGAGCACACAACAGTTTGGGAGGGAGTGGGAAAGAGAACAGTGCATTTAGAAAGAGGAACAACACAGATACAGATAGGAAGGTGCGCAGCTCAGGCTGGAGCAGAGGCAGGACAGGGCAGCTGATATCCCACAGTAACCTGACCATGAGGTTGCCTGTGCCATTTCCTGCAGCAACAGGTTTTCTTTTGATGCTGTACCCAAGACCTGATTCTGCCCTCTGAGATGGGCTAACTGCAGTCTCCACGTGTCTCTATTTTCTCAGGCCAGACAATTTGTTTAATCCTCTTCTCATTTCTACTGCTGCATTCCTTTTGATGGAAACAGGTTTCCTCTCTTTACCCTGTTGGAAACAAAGTCTTACATGTGAGTGCTGGGTCAGATTTGTATGTGAGGTTGTTGTAGGACAGTCTGTCAACAAATTTGTTGTCCTGTTACTAATTGTTTAGATTAAAGATTAGAAGGGCATTTGTAAAATGCAACCAGTCAGCTAGAATATACATCTGTCAGTCTGGTCTTCTGCCTCTTCTCTCCAATGTTAGGGGTGTTTCTTTTTGTGTCATTGCTGTGCAATAAATGAAGGGCTCTATCTCCATCTACTTCTAGAGAGGCCAAGTCACAGAAATGCTAATGCCCCGTTGCCTTCAATTCACGCAGGAAGCCTGTGGCAGAGCAGGGAGTTGAAGGAAGATTGTCCAAGGCCCGAAGAACACCCAGGACATTGAAACCTCCTTTGCACACTCAGAGCTGCATGGCCACACATAAATGGGGGGAATTCTCTCTCCCTTATATTCTTTATCCTGTGTGGGAAACAAAAGGATAAGAGAAAATCCCAAACTTCCTCCTTTGTTCAGTGATCTTTTGCAGCTTTTAGTCCCTGCGTTGTCAAACCTAAACTCTTCTTGCTGTTGAGCTCATTAACACAAGATTTTTGTCCTTCTGTATCAGTGTTTCAGCCCTTCCACATGCTGATATTTTCATTGCAGTGGTTGGAACAGCTGCACGTTCCAGCTGTCCTTTAGCCTGGGAAGTATTAGGTACTGTTTTCACTGCTGAATGTTCTGGTTCTCTCCACATGGGCTTCTCAGAGCAGAGACACTCCAAGGATTTAGGATAGAAAAGCACTCTGAAAGATGGAATTGCTTCTAGAGATCTAGCAAGCCTGTGGTAGGAACTCTGAGAAGTTTCCAAAACTTGTTGCTTTCTGTTTTGCAGAAAGGGAAACTGAGGTGTTGCAACTTGCTCATGGCTATGCAGGGAGTCAGTAGCAAAGCTCAGGCTAGGACTCTTGGCTTCAGATTTCCATGTCTTTTGCTTATAATCCTCCATCTCCACAGCCAAAAAGAGGTGTTAATATCCAGTACCTGGGATATAGGATGCTGCTGAAAACACTTACACAGTGATTGTGTCTTAGGATTTCAGGTCTAGTGCCATTGGTTTTCCATCTTGAGGTGCTACCAAGGTTGGCAGCATCACTGGGAAAGATACTTTTGTTCTCTGTCTCTCATTCCAGATTCAGGGGGAAAAAAGAGGGCAAATCACGTCATTCAGCTGCCCTTAGGTCAAAAGCATTGGCATTTGTGCCACTTCTTGGTAGGAAGCACATATCACTACTGCTAGTATTTCCACTAATGCTGCAGCCAGCTTGCTGGGAGAGGATTATGCCTACACGTAAGATATTTGACACAGCAAAGCACTGGTGGAACAATGAGAGCCAGTGTTTCCTTGGTTTTGCAAATGCACTGCCTTCTGGAAGCCAGCCTTTTTGTTTGTCTTGGTGGGATTTGCACAGAGTATTTGCCTGGGGCTTGGGCTTTGGCAGAAAGCTGCAGCACTGAGAGTCTTACGTGGAGCTAGTGACTGCCCTTCATTGTCACCACATAACCTTGACTAAGGGAGGTATTTCCCCACTGGGTGGTGAAGATTAGCATTGCATGTATTTGAGAGCAGGACTTGTACAAAGATAGATAAAAATCTGGCTATTTTTAAGCTTCTGAATTCTTTTAGCTCTTTGGTTCATGGTTAAGAGCCAGGAGAACCTCTCTAAGCTTGCCAGGGTTTTCTCTTTCAAGGAACACTGGACACAAAGAAAAGATCCCCAGTGTCTTGCTAACCAAAGCTGAGGAATAGCAACAGGAGTGTTCAAATAGGACGAGAGAGATGACCAAGAAAACAAAATCCAATCACTCTGATAGACCTCATAATGCATTGTAAATCCAGGTCTGAGTCTGGAAGGATTTTCTATTTCAATTACACTGACAAAGCTGAGTCCAATCAGGTCCTATTTCCACTCCGAACCGGGTACAGCACTTTGGAAATGAGCCCAGCATAATTTGGAATCATTATTCCATGTGCTGGGAGCAGTGCCTGAAGAATTTCCCTCTACCTACAGGCAACCCACGCTGGCTGCCTTGGCTGGCTGTAATGCTTAGAAACCACCTTGAACAGGAAATGCCTCGGCAGCTTGTGCCCACAGGCTGGGAAGCAAGCTGGAGGGACCCAAGGTGGAAATAAAGATCTGACTAGATGCCAGGTTTAGAAATAGATTGGTCAGTTCCTGTCTTCCAGCCAAGAAGAAGAAAAGAAGTTATGGGTTGCTTCTGGAGTTCCTTTTTCTTTCACTCTTCTACTGTACAACTTTGAGCCAGAAAAAGCTTAGAAATGTAACTGTGGATTCTTGCTGCTGCCTAAATGCACCCACAGTGGAGAGAAAAGAAGGGGCTGTGCTTCGCTACCCTGTTTGAGGCATTAGGGTCTCAGGAGAGCTGCAGCCAACTGTCCAAGGCAGAATAAATCCTTTGGGTGCTAGCTTAAATCGGGGAAGACTGCTTGGCAAAAAGGGCTCACAACTGCTTTCCTGTTGGGGTTTTTCCAGCACAGTCAGACAATTTATGTCGGAGAAGACTGCACATATCCTGGTCTTCTCAGGTACTTCTTTCGTACTGACACCCCTGGGACTAGGCAGAGCCAGCCTGCGATAACTGTGTGTGACAAAAGGCGCTGGAGAAAGAGCAGTACTCTGTGTCTAGGGAACATGGAGGTTTTATAGCTGCAGCATTTATCCCTACTGATGGGACACTTGCGTGCGATGAAGACAAACAGTGATGAAAACACTTTGGCCCAAATACTCTGCCGAGTCTCCAGTGCAATTCCTGCAGTCCTCAAGGAGCACCTTTGGGAACAGGGCTGTTTCCAAATTCTCCCTTTCCTCAGTCACTAAGGGAGCAGTGCCTGCAGCAATCAAAATCAAACCTTTCCCAGAAAAGAGGTCCACAAAGATTAAGCATTTTGTTTTTCGTCAGCAAGCTGTCTTTGACGATGAGTTGGAACCAAAGCATAGTTTTAGTCATTCAAGCTCTTACACACGGTTTGAGCATGTGCCGCGATATCTTTACTAGTCAGCCGTTCTGTATGGAGATAGTTTTATCTCATCCACAGCTTTGATTAGTCATGTTCACGGCTCCTCAATGCCAGTGTGGTGGCTGCTTTGATCTGCCTGGAAGCCACTAGGCCTTGGCAGAGGAAAGCAATCCTGCTTCAGAATTTTGTCTGAAGTTTGCAGAAGGTACTTTGTAGATTGAGGAACAAAGCAGGAAGAGAAGTAAGCTGCAGACAGAGTTATATTGCTGTACCATGCAAATACCAGGACATCGTCATATCCCTAGTCTATGTGCCAAAGAGAACTTTCCTCGGAAAAAACATTCCCCCACATACATCCCACTCCTCCTGGGGGAACCATACCTGCAGTTTCCCTTCACCCTGAATTTGGAGCCTCTAATGGGACCGTGAGAGCTATCAGGAAGGTAGTGTGCAGCAGGACAGAAAGACATTTCACCATTCTCCAGTACCTCCCCAGGATGCAGACGCTCAGAAAGGTACACACAGGTGGAGAGGACATCTACTCCAGACTTCCCCAGAGGCTGAACACTACAAGTGATGCTCAGGTGGTAAATTGAACGTGCCCTGAAATATTCCTGACAGTGGGAGATTTTCCTGTTGACTTGAAAAGGCTTTAACTCAGCTCCCCTAACGTTCTTGCAACACACTCAGTTAAGTGAAAGCCAACGTTTTGTTCTTTACTGGAAGAGAATAAAATAGGCATGAGATACTGGAAGTAAAGAAAACATCTTGTTAAAGGCTTAGCCAAAAGACACAGTTAACCTTGAACTAAGGAAGCCCAGTAACACGTGGGCTATTCTGTCTGTCGGATGTCAGGGCAAATTTGATCATGGTGCATCGATCTCCACAAAGGGGCCTGGGACTTTCTCGCTGTTAGAACAGGGTCTGTCAGTTTTCTCTTCCCTCAGTGAATCACACCTACGTCTGGATAACTGTGCTTACCAGAAGTATCTTCAGGTCATACTCAAGCAGCTACTCTGTGGTATTAGATTCTTACATCATGTCTGCCAGTTTGGTATATGTGTCTGAATTTATGGTGCTATCCATTTTTCTAAGATGAAAGTATAAATAGCTAGATTTCAGAATAATCCTTAAAGTGATATAAGTGTTAATTTCCAATATACCATATATTCCAGGCACGTTCATTTTTCCCATGTAAACTGTGACAAATAATACTGAGATTATTCCAGGAAGAATTATGGCTCTGACTGATTTTTCTCTAATTATACTCTCTGTTTACAATCTGCACTCTGCTCAGCTTGGATAAGGAACACAGGCTACTAAGTTTTGCCCTTTCCTAGTCAGTCGCTTTTACTTTGTGGTTCTTGCTTGTCAGCACAATGCTGTAGTATTTTAGTATTACTTTTAAATCCAAATTAAATCTGTCTTCACTTAAAGAAAACCATTTCAGTTGTGTGAACTCTCCTTTGCAAAAGCAGAGCTGTATCTGTAACTGAATTCAACAATATGCCATGAGTATGTGTGGTTTTTGGATATGCTCCTGAAATGGGTCAAACTGTGGAAGATTTCTGCCATGTAGTCCTAAATTAGTAGTATTTTTTGAAGGACAGTGGGTAGTTATCTTTCCTTCTTTTTATTTCCTTTGTAACTCCTGCACACTCTTTTTTTCTTCCCTTTCAATTTTCTGACAGTGGAATGGCACAGAGAATGCCTCGAAGTTTTGAAACTGGAGAATATTGTGTATTCAGAAAGCAGAATATACTAATTTTAAGTAGTAAAACCTTAGCAAGACGAGTTTATGTGTCATTATTGTTTCTTAATAGCAATGTTAATGTAATTAGAAATGCCTTAATCAACTGAAATACAGAATATGCTCAAGTTAGAAACACTTTTTCTTTTAAATCTTGTCCGTTACAAGTCTACTGCATCTTGTGCTTCAGATGAGCCGAGACAGAAGCTCAGTAGTCTATATTGTAATTACAAATTTGCTTACATTTCATTCCGTGGTGTTTGATTCATTCCAGCTTTAAAAGATTCCAGTAAGAGATCCATTAACAGCGACTGGAAAATTGAGCTTCCTGGTGAGTTTCAGATCGCAGGCACTACTGTCCGGTACGTGCGAAGGGGTCTGTGGGAGAAAATCTCTGCCAAAGGACCAACTAAAATACCACTGCACTTGATGGTAACTTTATATCCTTTGTTTGTGTTTCTTAAGTGATGCAACATAAAGGGTTTATATCCTAGCTGAAAGTTAAATTTTGATTGTTTGCTTCTTCCCCAGAGTTTTTTAAAGGTATGCTATCGTGCCTCTCTTTGCATTCTTTTGCAGCATTGCAAAGGCTGGAGAAACCCAGCTCACTGCTTAAAAATAAATGATGCCCTATTCCGGGAGAACATGGAGTGTCCTGGTAGGCTCATGTCCAGTACAGGGTGCTCCTGTAATGTGTCACAGACAATGTGACAAGTCCTTTCTAAAGGATGTAGGTTTCCAGGGACCTTCTGAATTTCATGGACATACCCACTCACACACATGAAAGGATATTTGGTGAAATATCTTCTCAGTTTATGCCAGAATGTATTCTGTATTTCCATACACTGTTCCTCTGTTTGAGCCTCTGTAGTGACTTAGTTACACACAGTCACACAGTTGCACACCAATGTTTCTTGTTTTCTTTATATTGTTTTTTTCAATTTTCTGTATTTTAAGGTTCTTGAAAGTTTTTCCTAATGTTCAGCATAGCCCCTCTGTAAAACTGGGCATGTCATTTTATAAACAGTCATATGGCTGCTGTATGAGAACATGAGTGAGAAGAACAGGATTGTAGTCCCAGTCCTGTCACTAACGGGTGATGGGGTGACTCATGGGCTAGTCCCTTAACGTTGGTAGTAACCTTAATGTTTCTATCTGTAAGACAGCTGTAGTAATGCCTGTTTCTTAAATACTATTTGAAAGTCTGCAGAAAGCTTTACAGTTTCTACAGCGAGGTTTGCACAGAAACATAGAGTATTTTAATGTATGTGTTGTTTCCTGTAACTTTTTTTTAATCCAGTCACATTTTTCTGTGTGCTGTTTCTTTTCCTCGTGAATTTTTGCCGCGTTTGTTCACTGAAGGCTATCTGTAAGCACTACTAAAAACCAGAAGTCTCTCCCTTTCCTCACCTGAATTTTTTGGCTCACTGATGTTCATTGTGCAACGTTTCACGGCCCAGTTTGAAAAGCTCAGAAGTTGCTTGAAGTTTTCACACACACACGAAGGATAATAATAGTGCTCCACTACTCCAGTACTTTCTCTGTATGCTGCACAGGAACATGAGGTGTTTTGTCTTTGCTTTCACAGACAGATGAGTGAGTTTACGAGGTTCACATACAGTGTAAAGCTGGATTCAGAGAGGTTACTACTGAAATAGTCAGTAACACAGGTCTTCCCTCCTGAAACCAGGACTCTGATAAAGTATCTTGTACTGCCAAGGTCTTCGTAACCCCATGTAAGAAAAAGGAGTTGCATAGGTACCGTTTGTGAAGATGCTTTGCAGACTTCCTTTGCCAGCTCCTGGAAACTTCCAGAGCATTACTTGATTAAGGTGTACTGTGGCAAAATCTGGTAACAGCATTTTGTGAACTTCAGCATCAGTAGAACTTTGTTTTTAAAGAAATGCTCATTTTCCCTTCATTAAGGAGTAAGTAACTAACATAGGAAACTAGTGAGTGTGAGGTTCTCCATGAGCATCCTTTCCAGGTACAGACTGGCATTTCCAGTAGATATGAGCAGAGGAAATTTTCCTTCTTCACTTTTTCCCCCAGAAATGATTAAAAAGGAGGAAAGTAAAGGTTACCAGACCATTAAAAAAACATGTGGCTTAAAATCGCTGCCAGTCATAAACAAAGCACACGTGAAGTCTTTTCTTCAAATCAGATATTAATCTTTTCCTTGATACAGGGTAGTAGATTTCATTCCTTGAATGCAAGAAAGGCAGGATGGTTACCAGTTACCTCTAAATAGAAAACTGTTGTTCAAACAGTGGTGGAATACACTGGACTGACAAAGAGCCAGAAGCTTCAGTCAATCTATTGCGACCTGCATTTGAAACCAATTATACACCCATACACTCACACTCCAATTATATATGGCTACGAAATTGCATGAAATTGGTTTCATATGGGCCTTTAGATTCACTAGTCTTGCACCCATCTTGAGATAATAAGGATTTCTTTTTAGGAGCTGGTTTTTAATACTTGAGGCATTTCTCCAAGTGTATTGCTGTGAGTATATTTCTTGGAGAAATTAGTGTTTGTGTAACTAGGTCTGTTCTAGACCTCCTCTCGGCGACAGGACAACTGAACACTCCCAGAGCATAAAGATGCTTTAGACAAGATTGATTGGTCAGTTCTGTAGAACAAGCTCTTCGTATCTCATGCACTTAAAGAAAGCCAGAGCAGGAGTTGAGTTCTCTCCCTCTGACTGCCTGGTATTTCAAATTGTGTTTAAAAAAAAAAATAATAGTCTTTGAAACTGTGATGGTGGCTGGCTAGTTTCAACCTTGGTATTCAGTTCTGGTAGTAAAGCTCCCTCTGTAGCTGAAGCAAAATCATATCTTTGTTCCCCATGTCTTCTGGAATATGCCTTTCTGCCCAGGGTTATGCACTGTGCACAGCGACTTGCAGGTGCTGAGTTTGTGTAGCCCCACAGTATTCCCTGCACAGACCTCCAGGATGTCAGTGGCTGCAAGCTGGACCCCTTCTTTCAGCACATACGGTTGTTTTTTTTGGTTAAATGAGCTTATGACAGCTTTAGTGAGATTACTGATTAAGTAGGAGTGATTTCTGCAAATATGAATAGGGAACAATTGCTGTTGTGAGAAAATAACATTTACAAATTTGCTTTTTTCAGTTGGGCAGCTGCTTGCTTCACTTATGATAGCCCTGCTTCAAATACCTTATTTGATAAGGTACTACTCCTATTTCAGTAGGTGACAAGAGCCAGCAGAGTTCACCTGTCTAAGGCTGGTGATATTATGGGATAGTAAGTGTAAGTGAGTCTAAAGGAACACCATCAGCAGCATTACAGTAGTGCTTCTGTGGCATGTTAATATTGCAGTAACTCAGGTTCCGTGGGCCTCATACTCCGTTGGGTATCTTCCAATCACTTCTGACTCAAGCCAGTGAAAGTGAGAGCCAAATGAAGCCCAACATGTAAATCAAAACAGGACCAGAACTGTCATCTGCCTGTGCTGAAAAAATAAGCGTTTTTCTCCATTCCTCTGCCTTTGTTAATAGTCAGTGAATTCTGGAGTAATAATACTAGAGGCATCCCGTGTGCCTCCTTGGGAAATAATCAGCCTGCTGTTAGAAGCAGCTTTCACCTTCCTCTAGGAATATGCAGGGTATGAAAATATATGTGTTGCTAGCAGCTGTGTGATATGGCTCTTCCTTGTCATCTTCAGGTTTCTGAGACAATAAAAACCTGCCCCTACAGCTTAGTCACGCTCACTTTGAGTGCCACATTTCCCAGGAGGCATGTGACTTTTTTTGTGTTAGTTGTTTTTGCTTTGGGAAGGATCACCTTGTTCCTTCAGATGTGTTAATAAACATTTCTGCCTTTAAGCTGTGGGCTGCTGCAGCCCAACTCAAATGCACCAGTAAATGCTGCAGCTCCCAGAATTACAGAACGGTTGAAGTTGAACGGCACCTCTGGAGGTTTTCTCATCCAAACCCCTGGCTCAAGCAGGAGAGCGCAGAGCAGGCTGACCGGGACCGCGATCCATGAACAGTACAGCGTTAACCCAGAGCTTCCCCATTCCCCACAAAGGTCCCCAGCCATAAGCTTGAGTCTCTGCATGAGCTTTGCAGACCATTTGCTTTCTAGAAAACAGGGGTAGGACAGGTATGAGGAGTGACTTTTTAACTCTAGATGCTCATTAAAATAGTTATTATATGAAAACTGCTGATTTAGTGCTTCCTGTTGTCTTACTATTTCTCTTTAGACAGCCAGTGGCCTGCTCATCACATTTGAGGCTTAAACAAAGTTAGGCACCGAATTCCAGGTTTAGGCATCTCCGTGACCGTTTTAGATATTCACAAATCATAAGCATTTATTGCTCCTGCAGACGTCCTGTTTACCAGTACTGCTGTGATTTCAGGTTTCTAGATAAAGATTTGGTTGCCTTTCACAAGGTGCTTATATTTTAGAAATAGTGGCTGGGGACAGCATTTTCAGCATTTATGTTTTTTCTGTCTGTT